AGAACAGAAATGTATGACAAAAAAAAAAGTGGGCTGACCAATAGCCAGAACAAGGGTAAGTGACGGGCAGTTTATGATCCCTTTCATCCCCTCTGCCATATCAGCCAGTCTAGCCTGCTTGCTCTGGTTCTTAGCCAACGTTCCATTTCTCACCTTGCTGTTGTGTCCTCCATTCTTAGCCGCGTGTGATTGAGAGGACGGGATGATGGTCCTCAGCATCTTGGTGGTGGATTTACAGAAGGAGATGGACAAGAGGTGTCATCATGGGCAGGCTAGATGGTGTGGAATCAGCATTGCCTCAATGGCCAGAATAAGCACCTTGATGAGATCACAGATCCATGGGAGCATAGGAGCATTCATGGTTGGTCTGACCATCTAATTGAAAGGTCTGAAAAGAGAGTAGTTATTTCGAGTGAGAGACAGCTGGGACTCAGGGAACTGAAAATAAGAAAGGGGACATTTAGGATTTGCCCCACCACACACGCACACACACACACACACACACACACACACACACACACACACACACATGCCCCCACATGCCCCCACACTCCTCTCTTTCCAAAATGGAGAATTGTTCATTCATTGACTAATTTTCCTAGGGAAGAGGTGGAGGCTTAGCCTTCCAGAACATGATGAACCAGAACAGGGCCCCACCCCTTGAAGATGCCTGCTGTCATAGCACAAAACAACAATTTATAGATCCTTGCCATATCTAACACATTTCAGCCTTAGGAGGAGTTGTTTCTTTTTTTTTTAAAGGACTCATTCTAATTTTTAAATATTCAAAAGAACATAAGATATGGTTCTTCCTCATCTCTATCTTATGGAAGTCCTAGCTCCCTTCAAGAGGTCTCTCTCGATTGTCTACTTGTTAGAATTCTCCCCCCACCAATCACTTCCTATCTCTTTTGTATATGTCTTATGCTAACTTATATTAAATATGTAGAATATAAGTTCTTTGAGGTCAAGGACTGCTTCACCTTTGGAATCATTATAATGGTCAGCATTTATATAGCACCTACTATGTGCCAGACTCTGTGATAAAAACTTTACAAATATTATTTCATTTTATCCTCACAACAACTCTGGGAGGTAGGTGTTATTATGGTCCCCATTTTACAGATGAAGAAACTGAGTCAGACCGAGGTTAAGTGACTGGCTAGGGATCACCCAGCTTTTAAGGGTATGGGGATGGATTTGAACACAAGTTTTCCCAACTATAGGCACTATTTATATAATATGAATTGGTTTTTTTATCCTCAGCCTATAGCAGTCGACAAGCATCGATTAAACTAGGTGCCTAGGGGGCTAAGGGCTAGGAAGACAAAGAAAAGGAGGGGGCACACAGTACTTGTCTTCAGGGAATGCACAATTTAATGAGGGCAAGTTAAGTATGCTAGATAATTAAAGCTTGTGGATTTATATACATGATATTAGAAGATTCTTTAAAAGCAACCTCAAAGGTCATCCAATACACTAGAAAGGCAATATGGTGTAGTAGATAGGGTTCAGGACTTGGAGGCAAGAAGACCTGGGTTTGAATCCCACCTCAGATACGTATTAGCTGTGTGACCCTAGACCAGTCACCTATCTTCTTTGGGCTTCTGTTTCCATCTGTAAAATGAGGTGGTTGGACTCAGAGACCTCTTGGATCTCTTTTTAAATCTATGATCCTATGAACACCCTCACTTTACAGAAGAGGAAACTGAGGCTTTGGAAGGTTAAGTACACTAAGTGGCAGAGTGGGGCTCAAACCCAGGTTTTTTTCCCTCCACACCCAGCACCTTTCCCCCATTATCACAGATACCTCTTTCTATTGGCTATTTGAAAGTAAGATGTGCCTGGAAATTAGCTTGCAAAGAGTGCCGTCTTTCAATCTAGGTCCTAGTCGTGATGTAAATTGTGCAGTAGGCACCCAGTTATCTCCCTGACCTCCAGTGGGGTGCTTTGGAACTATTGCAATGGACAGAATTTGAAGCACTTTAGGCTTTGCTTTGGCTAGGGGAGGGAAGGGGAGAGGTGGAGCAGGCTTTCTCAACCTCCCTCCCCTGGCCTTGGGAGGTTCTTGCTCTGCTTGTACTCACATCTCAGCCTGCAGGCTCCAGCACAATGGGCCAGTGTTTTAGGCAGTTAAGGAAGGAGAGGAATGTCTGTGAGTGGGGGGAGAAAAGGAAGGGGGAGAAGGAGGAGAGGAGAGACTTTGTTGACTTTATTTAAAAATACGTTTTTGGAAAATATTTCAGATACTGTTGGGTTTTGTAGAGCTTTCTTCCTATCCCCTCCTCTCCCTTCCCCCTGCCACTCCTCCCCCAGCTTTAAATATAAATGAAGAATTTTAGTCTTGATTGGAGGAAGCTAGAGAAAGAGCCCCACTGTTACTATCTGTGCCGGAACCGACCACCTGAGTGTGCAACGGCAAATAGACCCTGGGGGGATTCCAGAGGGAATTCTCGGGAGTCAGACTACCTCAAGCCAAGTAAAACTGGCAACAACAGGGCAGGATGCACTGAGGCCCCAGGTAGCTTCCTCATAGCTAGCTACTGTTCCCAGGTGGTAGGAAGCATTTGGGCTCTATCCTGATATTTATGGATATGTGAGTGTTTTAACTCCTGGGAGGGTAGACGGACTGAAGTCTTCTCTTCAGCTTTCATGGTGCTGAGGGGAAGGGAGCTGAACCCTAGATTTAGAGGCAGTGCTATTGTTATCCCCCATTTTATAGATGAGGAAACTGAGGCTGAAGGAAGTTAAGTGATTTGGCCGTGGCCACAAAGCTAGGAAGTGTCTGAAGCAGGTCTTCTTGAGTCATCTGTGTGACCTTGGGTAAGTCATTTAACCACCCTCAGACTCAGGTTCCTAGAATGAAAATAAGTGGGTTGGACTAGATGGACTTTAAAGGCCCTTTCTAGCCCTAAATCTATGATGCTATGATCCTTGCTGATTTGGATGAGGATGAAAGGGAGTCTTGGCGAAGGAAAAAAGACTGTAACAGCTATGTTAATATAAAAATATAGGGAGAGAGGGATGGAGGAGGGAAAGAGGAAAGAGAGAAGATAAGGGAGAGAGAGAAGAGGAATATCATGGAGGGGCCCACTATCCTTGCCCACCACCAACATCAGCCACTGCCCCCATTGGCCAATTAAGCCCAGTAGCCTTAGGAATAGCAGAGCCCTGCAGACCATGAATCTTGCTCCTAGCACTGCTCTTCTAACCATCATTGGGAAAGAATCATCTGGGAAGATTCGACCTGGCAACTAATTTTGCAGGTGTGCAGCCCCTGCCTCCTCAGCAGCCACAGCTACTGAAGGCTGGGAAAGGAAAGTTCTCCACCCCAAAGTCCTTGGTTTTTTCAGTGGTTGTGTGGTTTTTCCTTCATTCTTGAAGAGGACCCTGACATCAGGGAGATGACGACATGACTTGCAATTGACTTTGATTTGAAAGAGGGAGGGCCGTGCAAAGTCACCAGCCTCACTTTCTCCTCCAGAGCCATCTGGGTCCAGTGGCCAGATGTCTATCAGGACAACTGGAGATAGTGGAAATAATATTGAAGGAGATTCATTTCTGTCTACTTTGCTGACGCACCCTAAGGATCGCCTTTCCATCAGATATGCAACTGAAACATCTTGTATATATTCTTTCCCCCAGTGGAATGTAAACACTTTGAGAGAAGGTACTCTCTCTTTTTTTCTGTTTGTATTCCGTCCCCCTCCCTTAGTGTACTTTGTGCCTAGTGAAGCTTAATAAATATCTTCTCTTTCTCTCTCTGTCTTTCTCCCTTTTCTCCTCCTTCATCCCTCCCTCTCTTCCTTCCTCTCTTTCTTTCCCTTTTTCTTTTCTTTATCTCCTTCATCTTTTCCTTTCTTTTCTCCCTTTCTTTCTTCCTTTCCTCTCTTCCTTTCTTTCTATTCCATTCTCTTTCTCTCCCTTCCCTCCTTCTTTCTTTCCTTTCACCTTTCCTTCCTCCTTTCCTCCCTTTCTTCCTTTCCTTTATCTTTTCCCTTTCCTCCCTCCCTCCTTCCTTCTTTCCTTCCTTCTTTCCTCCCTTCCTTCCTTCCTTCTTTCCTTCTGCATAGAACATGGGAAAGAGGAAGATCACTGGATTTGGAGTCAGACAACCTGGGGTCAAATCTTGGCTCTGCCACTCACTACTTGTTCAACCATAGGCAAGCTGTTTAACTGATCTGGGCCTCAGTTTCCCCATCTGTAAAATGAACAGGTTAAACTAGGTGGCCTCTCAAGTCCATTCCAACCCTGAAACTGTAATCCTAGGAACTAGAAAACTCCTAAAGAACTGGAAGAGGCCCTAGAGGTCATTACCTCCAACTCCCCCATTTTCCCAAGGTCACCCAGGTACTAAGTAGCACAAAGGTCTGGATAGAGTCAATCTCCATCTCAGATTTCTTTTAGTGATGCATACCCTGTAATGTCTGAGTCAGAAACCCTGGAAAGGTTTTCTTTCTAGCAATTGTGTGTGTGTGTTTGTGTGTGTGGTGTATGCCTCAGCTTTCCTGCTCGGAGGAGCCCTGGTACTTGTCCTCACCCCTGAAATTTCCTTTTTGGAACTTCCTTGCACTCATGCACACACCTCATCACTCCAGATTCACATCCAGCCTCATAGTTGGATTTTTTGTGTGTTTCACTGCCTTCCACATACACACAATTGTAACATTCCCAGAGACCCTGTAGTCCATACTATAGCTATGCAGGGATCCTTTCTACACCCTCCCCAACAAGTAAACATGAGCCCACCACACCTTTTGCATTTCACACAAACTGAACTAATCATACTAGCTAGCATTTATATATTGCTCTAAGGTTTATAGAGAAATATACATATACATATATATATATATTCATTGGATCTGTACAACAATCCTGTGAAACATGTGCTACTATATCCCAATATGTGGATGAAGAAACAGACTGCGTGTGTTGGATGACTTGCCCGTGTTCACACAGCTAGCCAGGATTCAAACTCATCTTTTTTTTTTTTCTTTCAGAGACTGAGTCCCTGTTCCATGATTTAAATCCCACTACTGATTACTGATTGGCAGGGATGCTTTCACTGGCTCTGTTTCTGACCTGGGCCAGTTCACCGGGACCTAAGGAGCCTGGTCTTCCATCTCCACCCAGCCCCCATCATATTAAATACCCAACTAAATGCAGATACTTGATCAGCATAACCCAATGTGGCGCTGAAACTCCTGAGCTCAAGAGATCCTCCAACTGTCAACATCGGGTAGCTGGCATTATAGGTATGTACCACCATGCCTACCTCAGATCTTCCTAACTCCAAATCCAGTGCTTTGTCCATTATGCCAACTGGCTGCCTCAGACTTCCTGTACAAGATAAGCCATCATTCACTGTCCAGTGATAGGCAAGTCATTCCCTCTAGGGGCAGCTTTTCATTTTCAGAAAGGTATTCCTTATACCCAAATTCATTTTTTTGTCATTACTACCCATTGTTTCTCCTTCTGCACACTGGGGTCAGGCAGAGCCTGTCCAATACCTCTTCCATAGGATGTTCTTTCAGAAATGAAGACAGTTATGTTCCTACCCTACACTAAGTCTCCTCCAGGCTGACCATCCCCAGTTCCTTCAATGGCTCTTTGCACAACTGTCAGATTGACCCTGTCACACCCCCCCCCAAACTTCAGGGGCTCCCCATTGCCTTTAAGATGAAATACAAATTTTTCTGCCTGGCATTTAAAGCCTTTCCTTCTCAATCTGGTTCCAGCCTACTTTTCCAGGGTAACCCTTCACACACCCTCCATTCTAGCCAAACTGGTCTTTTACTCTTCATTGGAAACAACATCCCATCTCCCATTTCCTGGCCTTTGCACCAGCTGTCCCTGTGCCTGGAATGCACTACTACTTCAGCCTTTTAGAATATCTTCAGACCTCAATTCCTGTCTCCTCCTCACTCTGAGCGGCCAATGCCTCTGAATTACTTTAAGTATTTTTTGTATTTAGTTATACGTTCATGTTTCACAGGTAGAATATAAGCTCTTTTGGGACAGGTAATCCCTGGTATCTGTTATATGGAATATGCTTAATAAATGTTTGTTGACTGATTTATCAACCTATAGAGTATGTGTATATATTTCTAAGCAGATATATTGGCTTAAATTGTGTGTCTCATTATTTCTTCCCCACTTGTGTATCAGTGAGTTTAAAGGTATATACAGTGATGTGCTAGGTCTTCCTCCAAAACTATAGCATGACACACTTTTAATTTTAATCTTTATTATTAATGTTTTCTCCCATAACCTTCTTAAGTCTAGACTCTAGACCAGAGGTTCCCAAACTTATTTTGCCTGCCACCCCCTTTTCAAAGAGAATTTACTCAGCACCTCCCCCTGGAAATCTACTTTCTCTAACCCTTTAATTATTTTTTTTTTTTTTGGAAATTTGTGTCATTTCAAAAAATTTAAATTAAAAAAAGATACATCTTACATTTGATAATTTACTGTAAATTTGTGGGTTTTTTTCCTGTATTGAAATTTTGATGATACAATATTGTGTTATATAGCATCATATTGTAAACGAGTCATTAGGTGCACATATTCTTGCCAATACATGCTGGACTTCCTGACAATTCGAGACAGGCTCACCAGCCAACACTTGCTTGTTAAGACCTGCGGTGGACTTGACGACTGATTGGTTATAACCTGCATTTTTTGTGCTTATTTGAAAAATAACGTAATCACTACGACTTTAACTCTGTTACACAACAGACGAAACATGTATGAATGATTTTTCAAAATTTCTTATCTTCCCTTCTTTCCTTATACTTCCACTGCCCCTGAACAATTTTTCAAAATTTTCTTATTTTCTCTTCTTTCCCTATGTTTCCACTACACCTTTATTTTTATTCAATGCCCCCCAATTGCACCTGAGGCTACCCCCCCATCATTCCAGCACCCCCCAGGGGCAGTTTTGGATGAGCTCTAGATGATCGACAAAACAATAAATCAAGCCCTGGTTTGTAGAGGATGCTTATTTCCAAAGTGTAAATGCTCACACTGAAAAATTGACAATCACCTCTCCATCCAAGTATACCCTTGTATATCAAAGACTAAATTAAATTGGAAAAAATATTGACCTTACCCTGCCTTCTCCTTATTTTGCCTTTTAAGGATCTTTATTTGTATAAGGGAGGTGTTTTTACATTTCTATTTCTAGTAATGCAATGTCATTATCCTATAAGTATACAAACTTCGTGATCTCTTTACAAGGTGTGAACCATTCTGATGGGTCAAGAAGGGAATAGTTGGTGGATTAGCCAAACAGCTAGCCATTGGCTCCAGCAACTTTAAATAGCTGGAGGAGTTTAAGTAGAAAACTGTCCAGCTGCAAAGCAGTCAAGTCATGGAAGACTATAGGCTCAGGACCTCCTTGAGGAGGCAGATCTTTGTATTTGTACCAGAGGACAGGAGGGTGTGGGACCAATGAACCCGGGGCAATTTTCAACTCCTTTTTCTCTCCCCACCCTTATTGTCCATGTTATTGGAGAAACTGTATCACTAATAGACAACTCATCCATCCAGGAGCAGAAAAATAAAAAGACAAATGTGGATTCAAGTGGATGCAGAAAGATGGTCCCTGGAAGGAGGAAGAGTCCTCAAGAAGAATCAGAGAGGACCTCAGGCTATGGACTCAAGAAAGGACTTCTAATAAACAGGAGTTGTGAGTTTATCCTTTAGTCTTTGCAGTTCGATTCCACTCTCCCATGGACCTGTGTTTCCTTGTGAAAGACTGTGCCTCAAATCTAGAAATGGGAAGGTGATGTTTTGCACTAACTGTTCTTACTCTACCACCTTAGTAAATGCCTTTTCCTAAACAAACTAATTAACATCATCAGTGGGGGCTCATAAGTGACCAGGCTAGAAACCCAGCTCTTAAGGGTTACCCCTAGAATCCTGAGTAGGATTAGTCATCCTTGCCTCTGAAGATACCCAACCAAACCCAAAGCGAGTGCTATATTTGCAATGCATAGTGATAGCAGTGTACAGCATGCAGTGCTGGGTTCAAATCTCATCTTTGCCACTAACAGCCTGGGCAAGTTACAGCTTCTTTGTGCCAAAACAACTCCTTAAAACTTACCAAGTTATGTGCCAGACCAGCTATGATTTGATTAGTGTATATGTGTAGTATATTAGTATAGACAGTGCCCTATTTCACCTGCCACTCTATGTCTATATCTATATCTAATGATATCACAGATCGAAGTATACGTATTTTGCATATTTGTAACATTAACGTGAGGTTTGTTAAGGCTGATTCTTTAATAAAATAAATCTAGCCTTGTCACTCTAGCTCCAGATTCCAAGTTACAGAAAGGCATGGGGGGAGCCCTGATCCCACAACCCTTTTCTTCTCCTTGTCCCAGGGTGTCCATGGCGCAAAGGGAAGTTGTAATCTAACGACAACGAGCTGACAAAGCTATGTAGGTTTTAGGAATTTCGAAGGCGCTCGACCTCTTAGCAAGGGACATAAATGAAAAGGTAATTTTTCAGATTCTTCTCTGGTTAGTCCTATGTTCAAAGCACACATAATTTCCTTTTAGGTGACCTCTTGACTTAAGCATGAGTCACCAAAGTAATATATCTTAAGCTTGGCTGAAATAACACAATGTTTTAAAGGACTAGATCATTGTCTAATAGCATATTTCAAATACCATAGAATGTGAAATATTAAGAGGATATAATGAACATGAATATACATTTTGTTCACAAAACAGATTCTTATGAGATACCAGATTTGGGATAAAGGAATATGTTGACCCTAGACACTTGTGAAATAGGAAAAGACCACTGGATTTGGAGTTAGAAGACCTGGGTTAGTATCCTATTTCTGCCACCTACTACCTGTGTAACAAGTCATTTAACATCCCTGGTCCTCAACATTAATTGTTTATGGACTACCATGAGCCTTTTACATGTTTTCTGTAGATTAGAGCATAGGCTGTCCTATATCCATTATGTGCATTGTTACCTTAAATGCTTAAATGGGACCTGGGTACCCTTTTCTTCTCATCTCTGAAGACTTCAACATGAACTATATTATAGCTATACTCTAAGGTTTATTCCAAAGGCAATTCTGGGTGGGGGGGGGG